TTAGATATGTAATCAGCATAATTTTTAGGTAATATTAAGCATGTTTGGGAAATTTCAATTTCGGATGTTTAAACGATTGACTTTTGTCTTATTAGCTCTTATATATATATATGTGTGTTCTTGGAGCCTTGGACCTAGTTCAACACATTTTCATGAAAAAGGGATAGAGAGAGTAAGAATAGAGAGAAATGAGAAGGGAGTTTCACTAAAGGCTAGAGATTGAACAACTTAGAAAGACTTTGGGAGATCTCAACTCAAGGTAAGTTTGTTTAACTTTTATAATTCCTCTCTTGAATTGGAGGGTGATACAACCATGATAATTGAACCCAAGGTGTAATTGGATCATGTTTAATCCATTGGATGAGTTTGAACTAAGTTGCTTATGTATGTATGTGGAGAAATTAGCTGTGATTTCTTACTTTCTCATGAAAAATCATGAAAAACTTACCTTATATATATATATATATTTGTGATGGTATATGTGATGTTGAGGAAAAAGGAAATTTGATTATGGTTATGGATTCAAGAATTAGTGTTTGCCTAGTTTAATGTATGTATTTGAAGCCTTTGTAACATGAATTTTAGGCTATGTATTGTCAACTAAACATGTTAAAATGAGCCTTGTGAGGATGTACCAAAAGATTGGGATTTTGTAAGAATTTCGGACAATTTTGAGCAGAATCGCCGCACGTGCGGGGGTCATGGCCGCACGTGCGGGAGGTGCTGCCGCACGTGCGGGAGATGGTGAAAAACAGGGGCTCGGCCACTGTCTAAAAGGCACGTGCGGGGCATTTTGCCGCACGTGCGGGAGAGCTTGCCGCACGTGCGGGGCTCACAGCCGCACGTGCGGCCCATGCTGAAAAACATGGATCGCTCCGTTTTGCGTGTAGAACCCTCTAATGGTGTCAGAATATGTATTTGATGCCTTTTAATATGTATAAATTCCTTCGAAGTAAAACGAAACAGAAAGTGAATTGATATGATAAAGGAAAACATAATTGAAAGGGTTGGATGTGTGCAGCGGTGCACATTCCGGGGCGCGTGGCGCGTCTCGACACTGTGCAGTCAGTTAATATCATTATCTGCTTTTACATAAGGCTAGCTCTTCCTTTAAGCATTTCGTTTACGCAACTATTTGAGTGGTGTGCGTGGGTGTGTGATTGCTTTCAAGTATGTTGTTCCAGTATGTTAAGAAAGAAAATGGTGTTGAGATAATATATACCTTCATTCTATAAGACTCTGGGCCTACGGCCATTCAATATAAGTTGTTATGATATGAAACAAAGTGCTACACGGAACTAAGTGCTACGACGTGAGCCACCTCTAGAATCCGTGCGAGACACCTCTTGAGTTCATACAAGAATTTACAAGGACTTAACGCCAATTTACAAGGGCATTCTTAATGCCAACTTACAAGGGCTTAACGCCAATTTACAAGGGCATTCTTAATGCCAACTTACAAGGGCTTAACGCCAATTTACAAGGGCATTCTTAATGCCAATTTGCAAGGGCTTTATGCCACCTTCCAAGGGCTTTATGCCAATGTTTAAGGGCTTTATGCCACCTTCCAAGGGCTTTATGCCAATGTCTAAGGGCTTTATGCCACCTTCCAAGGGCTTTATGCCAATGTCTAAGGGCTTTATGCCACCTTCCAAGGGCTTTATGCCAATGTCTAAGGGCTTTATGCCACCTTCCAAGGGCTTTATGCCAATGTCTAAGGGCTTTATGCCACCTTCCAAGGGCTTTATGCCAATGTCTAAGGGCTTTATGCCACCTTCCAAGGGCTTTTTGCCAATGTTTAAGGGCTTATGCCACACCATTCAAGGGCTTTAAGCCAACCATTATGTTCAAGCTGATATGTTTCAAGAAAGGGCCTATAAAGTGAAACAGACTCCGACAAATCATGTGGACTTTGCATTGTATGCTTAAGTATATGTTTTAAAGTTTGATAAGCATATGTTTTAAAGATTGATAAGTATATGTTTTAAAGTTTGGTAAGCATATGTTTAAAGATTGATAGGTATGTGTTTTGAAGCTTAGTAAGTATATATTTTGAAGCCTAGTAAGTATATGTTTTGAAGCATGGTAAGTATCTAAGGGCCTTGCGCCACTATGTTAATGGGCTTCGTGCCACCATGATTAAGGGTTTGTGCCACATTATACAAGGATATTAATCCAAACCATTATATTCAAGCCAATATGTCTCATGATAAGATCTAAGTCTATAATGAATAAAAACAGATTCAGACTCGCATTGTGAATGCTGCATTAGTATACGAAAGTACATGTTTGAAGCTTTGAATACCAGGTTGCAACTTTACTTGGCATTGTAGAATTTCAGAAATTTCATGGTCCGCTCGAGCGGAGACCCATTTTCAGGAACATTTGAAAAGTTGCATTTAGTTCGTATGTCTATCCTCACTTATTTCCAAAGCATATTAGACACAATTTATGGTTCAATAAATATTGAGATGTTACGAATCCATGTGTATTTCTATTATACAATGTTTCAAGTTAAGCAGTATTTTATTTATGTATTACTATTCACTGAGCTTGGCTCACCCTCCGTATGTCTGTTCCTGTAGGTAACCAACCAGGACGTTCGTCCCCTTTTGTCAACCTTTACGAGTCCAGGCACTAAGCGAGATTACTCAGTTTTGTGAAGCTTTGTTAAGACATTGTCTTGTTTTTTTTTTTGATTACTCATTTAAGGTTAAATGTACATGACTTCAATGTTTTTGTATATGCCCAATCTTAGGGCTGGGGCTGTATATGTATATCTATATGACTGATGCTCACAGTATAATTTTGGCCTGTGACTGGTTATTATAATGTATATGATGCATGTGATCCTGGCATATTCGAGGTAGCTCAATGGAGTTTGTTATTAGGTTAAATTTTAGTGCTTCCGCCAAGGCCCCATATATTACGTATAGCAGGTTAAGTGTCCGTTTCTGTATGGGTCATGCCCGAACTTTTAGGGGCGAGTTAGGGGTGTGACAGGATGCTTTGTTAGCACCACAATCTTGTGGGCTTGAAAGTAGTGGTTCAACTTTTTCGAAGCCATTACTAGGGCCAACGTTAATTTCTCCATAGTCAGGTACCTGGTCTCTACATTTGGCAAGGTCTTGCTCACATAGTACACTGCCTTCTGCTCACCATCTTCTTCTTGGATTATCATGGCACTTACGGTGTGGTTTGAAACTGCTAGGTACAACTATAATTCTTCTCCTGGTACTAGGTTCAACAACACTGGTAGGGTTTTCAAGTACTTCTTCAAGTTGGCCAAGGCGACTTCGCATTCTTTTGTCCACAGAAAGTCTATGGCCTTCTTCAATAAACCAAAAAACTATTTGCATTTATCTGAACTTCAACTAATGAACCTATTCAGGGTAGCTGCCCTTCTAGTCAAAATCTCGACTTTCTTGGTTGTTGTCGGACTATTCAAGTCGAGGATGGCTCTGATCTGATCTGGGCTTGCCTCTATACCCCTCATAGTAACCAAGTACGCTAGGAACTTACCGGATCCAACTCCAAATGCACACTTCAAGGCAGAGTCAAAGCCGATATGTTCTCAGGATGTCAAAGACTGCCTTTAAGTCGGCCAGATGGTTCCCAGGTTCCTTGGTTGTAACGACCATATCATCTATGTAAACCTATACTATCTTCCCAATCAGTTGTTTAAACATCTTAGTGACTAGTCGTTGGTAGGTCGCTCCTGCATTCTTCAGCCCGAAAGGCATTACTCTGTAACAATAGAGTCCTTTAGGAGTGATGAATGTCGTCTTCTCTTTGTCTAGGGCATACATTGCTATCTGGTAATATCCTCTGTATGCATCTAGAAAACTCATCCTCCCATGCCCTGAAGTGGCATCTACCAGTTGATCAATCTTGGGCAGTGGAAAACTGTCCTTGGGGTAGGCCTTGTTCAAGCTTGTGAAGTCCACGCAGACTCTCCACTTCCCATTCTTCTCTTTCACCAATAATGTATTAGACAACCAAGTGGGACAATTTACCTCTCTGATGTCCTGTGCCTCTAGTAGCTTGTCTACTTTTTCAACTGCCTGCATATGTACTAGTGTCGGCCTTCTTGCACTCTAGACTACTAGTTTTGCCAACCTATTCACGTTGAGTCTGTGACAAGTGACCTCGAGGCTGATCCTCGGTATCTCATAAGGTGTCCAGGCAAACATCTCTATGTTCTCTCTCAAGAAAGCCTCCAGTTCTCTTTCTTCTTCCTCGACTAAGCTGAAGCTGAACAAGAAGAATCGTTCATCATCTTGTTCTTGCAGCATAACCTTTTTCAGTGGTTCTTCACTCTTCTAGGCAGGTTCTTTGCCTACATCATTAAGATCTCGTGGTCTTTGCTTTCAATCTCTGCACTTTCTGCTTCCCTTACATTATAGGTGTACTTCATTGTTGCCATGTAGCAATTTTTGCCTGTATTTGGTCTTCTCGTACCTCTTTAATCCCCTATTCTGTTGGGAATCGCAACAGCTGGTGCATCGTTGAGGAAATAGCCCTCATTGCATGCAACCAAGGTCATTTCAAAATGATATTGTACAGGGAGGGAGTATCTATCACAGTGAACTCTGTTGTTAACTTTTTGCTCCCTGCCTGCACCTCCAAATTCGTGGCTCTGAGAGGCCATGTCGGCGTCCCGTTGAATCCGACCATAGGGCTATCAGATTGCTCTAAATCATCTAGATGGAGGCCTAGCTCCTTGTATTATCTGACATACATGATGTCACAAGAGTTGCCTTGGTCAATCAGTATGCGCCTCACCTAGCAATCTCCAATCTTCAAAGTTACCACCAGGGCATCATTGTGTGGATGTTGCATCATATCTAAGTCGGCCTCAACGAAAGAAATCATTGGTCCCTGATATTCATTTGCTCTAGGCTTCTTTTACTAGACTTGATATACATGTTATAGGTGCCTTACTCTCTGGGTCTCCCCTCAAACCTCATTTTCATTGAACTTCGAGTGAATCACATTGATTAGTCGAGGTCCCTCTGCTTGCTGCGGTGGTGGTGGTGGTGGTGGAGGTGTGCTGCCAGTGTTTGGGGCAGCCTTGCATGCTCTTCTCTTGTCCTTACCTCATTCACTAGGTCGCTCAAGTGACCCTGTCTGACTAGATCTTCCAGGTGTGACTTCAGAACCATACATCGCTGAGTTAGGTGCCCATCCTCATTATGGTTGGCACAATGCTTCCTAGTGCTCCTGTCCATGAACTCGCCAGGGATCTTCTTTGACAGTCTGTAGTATGGTTGGTTCTTGATCCTCTCCAAGACTTTATAGATTAGGATCCTGAATACAGTGCTAACTACTTGCATAGACCTCGCTCCTGTTTCCTTCCTATCAACATTGGCATTCCCTCAGCCTCACTTCTGAGAGCCATTTCTCCTTTCTTGTTTTGGTGTCCTCGCTCCTTGTGTGTCTTCTTCTACTTTGGCATACTTCTCAATCTGTGCCATGAGCTCTTACATGCTCTTCGGTAGGGTTTTGAAAAGTGATTTCCGAAATGAGCATTGATCATTCTGGCTATTCTTGAAAGACACGACCGCCACCTCCTGGTTACAACCCAGAATCCGTGTATACACCTCATAGTATCTCTTAGCATAAGCCTTGAGGCCTTCGCCATCGCTAATCTTCAAAGCCAATAGGGAATCTACCCTCTGTGGCTGCGACTTGTTCATAACAAACCTGGCCACAAACATCTCGGCCAGGCCTTTCCAACTCTTTATAATTCCTTTCGGCAACTTCTGGAACCAATCCGATGTTATCTCTCCAAAGGATGATAGGAATACTTTGCACAGCAACTGTTTATTCCCACTCCACAAAGCCATTGAATTTAAATACAAACCAACATAAAAGTTTGGATCGGACTTATTGTCGTAGATTTGAAGCCTCAGCATGTTGAACCTCTTCAACGCCTTAAACGTTTCCAACTCTACCGAGAATGGCGTCATCGGCTGGATGTTGGATGTCATCTTGGCGTTCAGTCTCTTTCTCTGGAGGTAATCTCTGAAATCCACCTTTTGCTCTATCGGGAGCTCGGCTATCAATAGATTTTAGCTTCTTCGGCATGCTACTCCTAGTGTAATTGTGCGTCCTTTTGGACTTTCCTTCGTCTACTGCATCAAAATAGAGGCCCTTCCCTTGGATCTACCGAGATCCCTTGACGTAGGTC